ATTGACTAGTTGAAGTAAAGAAAGTGAATGTTTTGGTCATGTTTGCTATCTATCCTGTGTGCAGACAGCTTCTCTATTAACTGCCATTGATTTCATTTTTCTGCTGTATTTGAGCAGATCTAGTTTGTGGTGAAACTGATCTTTATAATAAAGTGGAAATTCTATTATAGTCACTTTAGAGTAACTCACTGGAGAAACTCTTGCTGTTTCTGGCATTCAAGTCCCACGCCAAGGATTGTGGTAGCTGTGTTCAGCTGTATTTTCTTTGCAGAACACGTTTTGGACATTTAACCGTGATGTCGGGTAAACTGCTCCTGTGTGTTAGCACAGAAGCTGTCTGAGCCGAAATGTCTTATTGCTGTCTTGCGTATGAAGCACTGCCACTTAAGGATAACTTTGGTGTATCCTCTCAATGCACAGATATTTATGCATGCAGCTTTATTCATGCCTGTGAAATTTCTCCTTTTCTCAACCCTGAAACAGGAGCACCTGAGACTACAGGTAAGTGGTTCATCTGGAACTAATCCTTAATGCAAAGGAAAAGCAGGTAAAGGACAAGAGTGCCTATCCCCACATCGGGGGTCTTTTTGCTCGGAGAGTGGGTGCTCTTCTGGTCTGCCTGTTATCATGTGACACTGCAAAGTGTCTTGCAAAATTAAGCTGGCCTCTTGCAGAGCTGATGCAGCTAAACTCAGCATGAGTTTAAATTCAGTAAAGTAGTTTTCTTCATCTCACTGGCTGCATGAAATATTCAGATCAAATCTTTAGCTTGGAGTTTTACTGGACTTGAATGATCAGAGACAATAACTGGGAATCTCCATTCCTTGGATCTGATTTTGATTTTTAGATTCTGTTTTATCCCGGTCTTTGGTGTCTTTCTCTTTCCATCTCAGTGCCATATACTGCGAGGCATAGTGGGTAACTTAAACTTAATAGTCAAAAGCAATCTGCAGAAAAACTGACGGCACAGCTGGTTAGGTAATTCTGCGCCAGGTTAATGTAAAGGCCAACTTATGAATACGACTTGTGAGAAATTTAAACAAGGTATCTTGGAATTTAGCTGCAGATTCAAGTTACATCAGCTAATCTCTGACCTGAAGGCTTGTGTCAACTGGATAGTTAAAGGCACAATCCCTTTTGGTTTGTCATGTAATATAAGAATACCAAAATGTTTTATAACTGTGGAAGCGGATGTCTTTGAAAACATCTGGACTGATATCTCTTCAGGTGCAAACAAGCCTCACCACTTCTAAAAGGCTTTAATTGGGTGCAGGCTGGTGACACTCTACCTCCAGGCACAGGAGGGGTGGGACACACTTTTTAAAATGCCTACATTGATTATCCTACAGAGGAACCTCAGTTCCAACCTTGTCCAGACCCTGCTGTGCTAATGTAGTTCTTACTGCATCCTGTGGATAGTTTCAAGTTGCATTCATTTGCTTCCTGAAAGTATTTGGTTCCTTGTTCAGTACTTGAATTAAATGAGTTCAGGGAAAAAGAGGCCCAGCACAGACGTTGTCACTGAACTCCCCTCCTGATGGCGGAGGCAAGGATTTCTTAAGGTGGTATCTTTTATTGGACTGACTATCGTTGGGGTAGAGTTTAAACAAACTTTCAAATGGAAGACATTCTTCATCAGGTCACTTGATGGTTGAAGCATCTTGGTGTGAAGCTTGAAGTGCTGCTCCTTATGCACAAATATTTGTTTTAACCAAATGTTGAGACTCCCAGGTTGTGAGCCTGGTACCCTTCACTAGCACTAACTACACTGAGGGGCTAGGGTAAGATGGGGAGAGCTGTAATTACTGTTAGTATTTGAGCAACCCAGCTCAAGGCTTTACACTACCCAGGGAGCAAGGCTTCTGGACATGTCTGTGCAGTAGATTAGATGACACTGTTGGAGACAGACTTTCTGGTTCAGTGAACAGGGACAGGATGGAAAGATTTCAAAAGCGAGTGAGGTGAGGATGAAGAATGCAGGAAAGTCAATAAGCAGATTAAATTCCCCAATGCAATCCTATTCTATCAGAAGTCTGCTCTTGGCAGTGCAGGACTGTGCAGCTGAATTTGGATGAAGGAAAAAGAGGGCTGCTGTTAACTCATTTGCCTGGTGCTCGGCGTGCTTGGCCCTTTACACATAAGCAGAGAACACCATGGCGGTGAAGAAGAGGAGCCACTGCTCTCACAGTTGCACAGGAGGATACACTCCTCTCACTCCATTAAACAGTTTAGATGCAACAAACAACAGCAAACACAAAACAGCTTCCTCCTCGCAGAACTGAGCGGGTTGTCAAAATAGCCCTAGCTAATTCTTTTCTAAGATAGCAAGGGGTTAAAGATATAGCCCAGTGCCAGAATGGAGCACAAGGTGAGTCTCCTGAGAGCTGCTGTGAATTAGTTGGCTAAACAATAAAGGGAAATGTCACTTAGAAACTGCCTGACTTTCCTTTATTGCTGATTTTTTCTGTTCTCAGAAAAGCACAAGCTTGTGTAAGCATAAGCAATACAGACTTACTCAGGGCACCGTGTCAGCTCAGCAGTGGACACTAGCCACAGAGGCACATCTAAATGGGGCTTAAGAGAAGCAGAGCATCTGGTCAGACCTGCATACTGCTGTATGAACAAAGGGCTACTAATACTATTGCAGTGTAGACAGGAGGTTGGCAGGCCTACCATCGTTAACCTAATGATGTATGAAAGTAGGCATATGCAAAATTCCATGTTAAAAAAGTGTGTCCTGTATTCTGACAAAGTCCAACTTAACAAGAGAACAAATGCTGCTTATTCAACGTTTTGGCAAATAATTTTTCCAAACACAGAGAGGCTTTGCTACATTTGACACAAAAGCAGAATGGGGATTCAGAGCTCTACAGTTCTTCACAGTGTCGCTAATTCCACCATTGCTGTCTGCTGCAAATCTTTTACTCGAGACCAGACTAATGTAGACTCCTAATCGCATCTGTTACCTTGGGAAAATACTGAAAAGTAGTCGAAAGCAAGAGAAGTGGTATTACAGGCAGTGTATTCAACTACATAGAGCCATTCTCTGGGCAATGCTGCTTATTTAAATCTGCTCTCAAAGCCAAAAATGATGCAAAACAGCTGCAAAATCCCACCACCCACACAGTCTAGTTACACACTTATTACCAATTCTAGTGAGGACACACACATCCTTAACTACCTTGCTAGACAGCTGTAGACAGCTAAATACCAGAAATCATCAAGGCCTTTAAGGTTAAATAGTTTAAACTACTCCCTTGCTGAAAAGGGAAGGAGGGAACTGTCTCACTCTCTTCTGCTTCGAAAAGTTCAGTGTCAAGTCTGTGATCCTGTCCCTAATCAATATGTATTGATCAAACTGGCTCTTGAGCAAAGGTGACGGCCACCTCCCAAGCCAACCCAACAATACGCACCTTGTTGCTGCTGCTGCGTCCTTGCTCTTGACCCGGCTGGGGCCAGGAGCACTCCGGGAGGCTTGCTTCCTAGAAGGAAGTTTCCTTTCAAGTTTGCATTGTGTAAGATTTCAAAAGCACTTGAGAAGCTTAGGAGAATAGTTTTCTACAGACTGCATGCTTTTAAAAATCCTATCCGGTATTGGTAATAACAGGTGTAGCAACACAGCCCCTTATCTCTCATATCTCTCCCTTACCTTAATAAAACATTTGGGAGAGAGATGGGAGATTTTCAGAAGTAGCCAGTGTTCTGGGTACCCAGTTGGCACCTGTTCTATGGGAAGAACTGTGAACCTACCCTGTGGAAAATCACATCTTTCTAAGATGTCCTATTAAAGAGCTAACATGACTAACTTCTTCTGAGCACCGGGACAGATGGGTCCACGCACACAGCCAGCACACCCCCTTTTTCCTTCTGTTTTACTTTGGAAACTTATCAGGTTGTGTTGAATCCTGCAACTCCATACTGATTAGCAAATGAGCTTAAATCCTCAAAAATGCAAGCTCGCTGCTCCCAGCTCCTAAGGAGTGTGCAGAAATGGGAACCCGTTGTTTCAGGCTTGTCAGTCATTTCACAATAAAGAAACCCAAGTTCTTTGGCCCCGCTGAGTTTCAGAGCAGAGCCACATGCCAGTCTTTGCAAGCTTCCTTAAGGTGAAAACGGCAAAATGAATAAACTCCTCCCCAAACTTACTGCCTCTCAACTATTCCAACCTTAAATGCTTTCATGAATGCCTTCAACACCAAATCCAACACTAAACAATCCCATATTTTGCATATGTAAGTTATTGAAAAGAGTAGTCCCGAGATAAATTTCTGAATGAAATAGGAGATCCTTATGGTTTTAATTAGAGATTGAATTACAACAGGTCCCTTCCTTATCTGCAGCCTGTCGAGAATACCCTGGTGTTTATCTTTTCCTGAATATCCTGTAAACAATGCAATTTGAAATACGAAGTTGGCAATAATCTTAGTTGTGTATATTGTAAAAAGTGTACTCGACATATTCCAAGTGGTGTTTTAATTTAGGAGGGGGGAAAGCAACTGATGCTGAATTGAATGCAGATTAAATTTACTCAGTATTAAAACCAGCCTGCAGATGTGAAATGTAGAGGATGCTCTTTGTACACTGAATGTCCTCATCTCAGTGATGCTGTACCTGCATACTTGATCTCACCTTGCTTCTGTGTTGTGGTTAGTATGTCCGCCACTATTGTGAACTGTGCAGAGCACAGATATTTGCACTGTAATCTTGGTGCATCTGCCACTGAATGTAACCCAGCACTGCTGCCTTCTCTGTATTTAAATCCCTGACCTGTTTCACTTGCTCCAAACAAGGCACAATAAAAGCTTTTCTCTGCAAACAGGATCTATGTCCCTGTGACTGATCTGAGTGTCCAACTCTGTTAATAAACCTTGCTGAACTGCAGTGTTGGTCTAATTTCTAATAGGAAACTATCTTTGCTTTTCAGAGCATGAAGCCTTGGAGACTAAATGAAGGGAGACCTGTTTCTCTTGAATAGTCGGGGCATTGTCTAGGTGGACAGGTGCCACGGCTTTCCTTAGGCTATTCGGCTCTGACAGGTTACAGGCAGGAACATAATGAGGACTTGCATTGCATGGAATGAGGCTGGAATACAATCCTTTTGCAAGGGCAGCACTGAATATAGTGTTGTATGTGTATGTGTCCACATGAAAAAGGGTTCTGCAACGATTACTGAGAGTCATGATATAGGAATGACCTTAACAGAAGCAGTAGGATTGTTTGTATCTGCAGCCCAAGAAAGGAATTGCTGCAATGGGATCTTAAACCTTAAGCTGGACTTTCCCACTACAACTATACCTTCAAAACCTCTCTACTACTTGATAAAAACCTAAGGTCAAGCACTGTGCTCTACAACAGCTGAGAAGCATTCACTTGCTTTCTATGGGCAGGAAGCCAGTTTGTGACTTGATTTTTCATTTGACCAGGAAGGTAGCTTCCAGCAGACGTGCCTGACTCCTCTCTGCTTGTTTTTACCTGTAGTTTCACTGTGCAATTTTAAACTTCCCACAAATGGGCTTTCTACTGGAGAGGTTAAGTGAAAACACTGACCTGCCATTTTGAGTTGGGGCTGTTGCAGTAGAAAGACTGGTAGGCACATGCAGAGTATCTAGGGTGGCCATCACAGAGGACAGTCTGGTTGTCTTCTGTCCTCTATTGATGTGAAAGTAGACGCCTTTATTTTTCTTGAAGAGAAAAATAGAGGATATAAACGCGCGTCGGGTTTTGTATCAATAGAGGAGAGAGGAGCAGAAAGCCGGCATGTCCTCTACAATGGCCACCCTAACAGTATAGGTTGCAAAACTCTGTACGCTAATGGTTTCTAGGTGACTAATTTTCATGCTAAAAGAGCACTGTTCTTTCCAGTGGGGAGCCCTGTATTTGGCATATAGTTAGGAAACTAGAATGAAATTGGATTCTTTTATAATTAGATTCATCGGAGGATAAGGCAACACTTCCATGTTTGTGTGTGGAAAGAAGGTAAGTCGTCGTCCCCCCCCCAGTTCAAACCCTTTCCCTATTTTGGAGCATGATTCCCTGTTACACTGCTACCATTTGGGTCCATCCCTGATTGCCAAGGTCCTGACTAAATGCAGTCTACTTCAGCATCCAGAGAAAACGGGCAAAAAAACGATGTCCTGTGCTCTGTCGCCCTTTGATTTGGGTTATTCTCTCATAGGATGGTTTTTATTTTAAGGTGACAATACATGCAAATGTAGTATTAACATGGTCATTCAAAAGGTGAAACACGGTCTGTGTCAGATGCATTCAGTCCCTGCCCTTGGCTCTTGCTGTCCCTGTATTATTCAAGATTCCCCTTCCAGGAAGCGATGCTGAAAAGCTGCAGCCCCCATATCCTTACCTTTCCATGGAAGTGGTTTTCTGATCCTGTTGTTCAGTCTTTTCATTTCAGAAGGCTTGAGTGGAGTTTGCTAGTCAAATTCAGAAGACACCAAGCTGGAAGAGAGGATTAAAATGCAGCATGAGATGACTACATTTGAGAGTCTGCTCTCAATAAATTTGCTTCCCTGGGAGCCTAGGGCTTAGTATATATGACAAATTGCGTAAAACACAGTGGCAAAAAGGCCAAGTGTGTTATATTGGGTTGAATATGCACAAAAAGCCCACTAATCTCTTGCTAATGAGGAAGGGTGCTGTTCAGTTGTTTTTAGGTACCAGACATTTAATTAAAACTGAAGAGCAGATTCTTCAAAAGGCTTAGCAAGTTAAGATCTACAGCCATGGTCAGGTGAGAAACGATGATTAATGCTTCAAGTTCATAACGTTGTTCAAGGGATGAACTTCCTATCATTAACCAGTTGATACCAGAGCCTGTCCAATACCATCTTCTCAAGTCACAGTCTGCCAGGATGTGCCTATAAATACTGCCTTTGGGGTAACACAGCAGAGAAAGTTCAGGTTTAACTTAACTTTAACTAAACTAACTTTAACTTTAACTAAATAAAGCTGTTTATCTGACTCCTTGCCAGTGCAATAACTATGCATGAACAGGCCGAAAATCTCCAGCATGGCATACACCAGTGATTCTCAACCAAGGTCCCCTTGAGATCCTTTTAAGGGTGACGCAGGTGTGCACAAATGATTCACAAGAAAGACCCAGAGATTTCAAGTAGGAATCCATAATATCAAAAACATTCTGCCCTGCTGTTGTTTCTCTGAGTTCTTTGCAATAGAAAAACTGCTCTATTATTTTTCTGCAGTCAAAAAATGAATGAAAACTAAGAGCTGGCATTTTCCAAAGGGTGCCTTGACTCTAAAAAAGCTTGAGAAACACTGACTTCCTAAAGGAAATCAAGGCTGTTACAATGTGGGAGGAAGAACGTGCATTTAAAGTGCTTTGGGACTCTCCTCCCTCCTGCCCTCAAAGCTGGCATCTGAAGTGCCCTGAATAATGACTCTGCTATCACCATATTACATAATTTGACCCCATAATTACATCTGATGAGAACTACAGGTCCCACACATTCAACTAGTCACCACCTGGGCACTGAGCTGTAATCTGTGCCTTTGTAGTAAGACTGGCTTCCAGCAGCAGCTAAGCCCATTTCTTGGCACTCAGGATGCTGTTATGAGATGCAGTCAGCTTGATGCAGGTGCCACCTGGCTCCCAGCTTCAAAACTAGAGGCAGTGAAGAAAGCCAGCACAGGCACTTCCATGCGCTCCCCCTGCCCACTTCACTCAGGTAAGTGGCTGCACCTACTGGAAACAGGTTTGACCCTCACGGTGTGAGGCTGGAATTTGTAGGAGTGGAAAAGGGCAGGTCAAGCAGCCTGCAACTGCAGAGCTGGTGAAGATGCGCTCACCAGGCACATCTACACATGCACTTTCATGCACATGAGCCTATTTTAATGCACATTAAAGTGTCACTTAAAGAAGTGCTATTTCGTCAATGCACAGTAAAATAAGTAATGCACATTAAGCATCACTAAAAACTGTGGGTGCCTGTATGTGAGCACAGAGGCTGCTTCGACATGCTGCAATTACTGCGATTGGAGCAGACTCGATTAATCAAGTCTGCTGGACCATGGCAATTGCTGCGCTCTAGCCACCTCCCACATTTTGCATATCAGCATCCCCGTGCTTCAAAATGGCGGCTGGGGTGCTTTATTTAAAGCGTATTCAATGAGCTTTAGATAAAGTGTCCCCTCTGCCATTTTGAAGTGTGGGGACGCTGATACACGAGACACTCGAGGCGCTTTAATTAGAGCGACTCTTGGAGCTGCTCTAATTAAAGCACCCCCCACTCTCAGAGCATGTGTACAAACACTGTGTTCTTTAATGTGCATTAAGAAAGGCTAAGGTGCATCTTCCTAGTACTTCACGTGGAGTTACTAGATTGAATGGGCATTAACTAGAGCACGTTAATGCATGTGTAGATGCACCCCTGTCACTGCTAACTGAACTGAAGCATCCCAGAGAGGGCTGTGAACTGTCTGCACATCAGACTTGTCATCCTTCACCTCGAGGCTGGCGGCACTAAGCCAAAGTCCTACCCAAGGCTCCTTCAGCAGGGTAGGAGCCCTGCTCTCAAAGTCCTTGATGTGACCTGGGCAGCTGCTGAATGAACCTGCCTGTTTCTGGGGAAATCAATGGGCAGAGCGGGTCTCACCAGCAGGGATGTGTAGAGGAGATGCCTTTTGTGGGGAGGATCTCCAGCTTTTCTGCCACAGAGGTGCCAGCAGGGACCAGGAGAGACAATGCTTGTGTGAAAGGAGCTAGGCTGCTCCAGATGCTGGTGGACACCACGTAGTCCTGCCTCCACAGGCCTCTCAAGAGGGGCCAGCTGAAATCACTGTTCTGGTGGTTCGTTAAAGCACCTAATAGGAAGCAGAAGGGTTAATGAGCCAGAGGCACTCAAAGGGCAATAGGATGGATGCATGCACACTCCTCCGCTGTTTCTAAGGAGATGCCTGGCGAGAACCAATTACACCCTATTTACTATGAGCGGCTGGCCTGTTTCCTCTAAGAGGCCACGCTCTCTAGGCCTTGTTCACCATCCAGGTGCCTTCTCACAGCTTGCTTAGACAGCTGAAAGAGCAGCCATGTCTGGACCCAGGAGTCTACAGAAAAGCAATCAAAGGCATCTCTCTGGTTCCCCCCTCTCCCCCCGGGCACTCGGACTGTCTGGCTAATGCAGCGGCACCCAGTCAGACCGTTCGATCAAAAGACAGATGATGAGACCTGCAAGAAAAAGACACTTCTATTGCACACAGCTGCCCCTATTGTTGGCGTGCCATGCACCTGGTTGGAGCTGTGATTAAAATCCCCAGCGCATGCAGGCTGAGGCACTTCCTCCCACAGGCAGGGAGCCCACTGCGAGTGCTGTCGCTGTGGAGAAGGTGCATTTGAGTACAGAGAAAGAAGAAGAAATCAATTTATTGACTGAGATGCGCACAACTAGCAAGCCAGCACGCCTCTCCCGCGGGTGAGGAACTGACACATCTACGGACCAGGCTGAGACTATTCAGAGAGCTGACCTACACCCCTGTGCTTCATAGCGCAGGGAAGGAGATGCATTCTGCTTCCAGTCTTCCCTGAAGGTTTGCAGCCTGATTCACCACGGGCAACCTCCTCTTTCTCTGGCTCACAGAGCACATATCGAAGCAGCCGCTGTATCACTTCCTGACTGACGCACTTTCCCTGAAGGGACCCAGGGTGGGCACAGACCCTGACTTATTCAGCAGCCCACACACTGCCTACTTAATGCAAATGACACCCCATTCCTTCCTCTGGTCTGTGGGAGAAGAAATCAGGGTGGGGAATCAGGCAAGGAGAAATTAATTCTCAGCATTGTTTGAAAAGTGAAGCCGTTTGTGCTCGCCAGCTTGGCAAGCCGGTAACTTTCCAAAGGCTGCCAGCCCACGCGCTAGAAGCTCAGTTTTCTATTAAAAAATGAATGAGCTCTGGCCCCATGCTGAAAGCTGCACGTGAACTCGACATGTGTAAGAGAGCCTGAAAACAGCCCAGAGCAGGAGGCATTAACACAAGCCTCACAATGTCGTGATGAGCAGGTATGTGAGAGTCGGTCCTTAACTACTCCATTGCTGATCACAACAGGCAAGCCAGGGGCCCAGCTGGTAAGAGAAGGATGGACTTAAAGATCTGCAGACGCTACTTGAGCACCATGCTGGCACAAACAAGTACAACTTCCTAATTCAAACCTCTCCACGAGCATACCCAGCTGATGGGTAGCCTCCCAGGAACTGCGTCTCCAGTGCAGATCTCCCTGCTGGCACTGGGGATCACCCAGAACGGGGTTGGCAGGGGAGGGAGAGAACAAGCCCGTAGTAAGGGGTATGGCTCAGTGAGAGCAGCGCTACTCTGGAAAGAAGCAAGCCCCACCCATAGCCTGGCTTCGAAGGGAGCAGATCCATTTTATCCAAGGACTAGTAATTGCAAGGGGCTAAGTTTCACTAAAAAGAGCAGTGACAAAACGATGCTTAATCTGCGGCATAGTGGTTAGAGCCCAGCGCTGTAAAGACAGGGTCGAGCCCAGCGACAAGCCCCCTCTGGGTGAGAGGACCCTACAACTCAGCTGCCCCGTTTCCTAAGCAAATACCCTAACCCATAGGAGGCTATTCTATGTCTTGGAGTTAAGACATAAAATAACCCCCATCTTGAGTTATGCTCAGTCCTCACATCCACACTTGTACAACCTCACTGCAGGTTAACAGATTCGTAACCTGTGCTGAAAAGGCCACTTAAGCGCTGGAAACTTGCTGTTTAGGTGCCCTTTGGGCGGCCCTTCTGCAAGGCCTTCACCTCCGGGGTCCAGTGGCTCAGATGCTTGCTGTAAAGCGCTGACTCTGGTCCTTTGCTGAGGCCTTGAGCCAGCTGGGGAGCACCCATCCTCTCCCCATGGGCTGAGCAGTAAATCACCCTTTCTCCATGTTACTGAGCTCCTTGGTGTGCTCCCAAGCCTTCCAGGGCCCTGAATTAGCCTTCAGTTCACATTACACTGCACATGCCAGCACCTCCGTTTATTTATAAAGCCGAGTTTCCCTTCCAAGAACAGGAAGGACCCTTCATGCTCTAGCCATGGAAGAGAGGAGACAAATGCACTAGGCAGAGCTCGGGCAAAAGCCTTTCCCGATGGAAAAATCGGGAAAGGTCACATGAAGAATCCTTCCCAAAGCAGCCAGGGCCTCTTGCCTCCGCTCCCAGTGTGGGAGGAGGATGTGATTTCCTGCTCAGGGAAGGAGAGGAGTCCCCCACCCTACGCGTGTGATAATTTGGATAGATTTTTCTTGTGTGTGCACGCGTGTATGTGTATTGGGGAGGAGGTGGGGGGCATAAGGCTACACAGGCACTGCCAGACTGGGTTATACCCAAGGTCCATCCAGCTCAGTACTTTGACAATATCAAGTAGCAAATGCTTTAGAGGAGAGTATAAGAAACACGCTTTTGCTGAGTGATCCCTCCCCATCACAACCACATCCCTGACGGCTGTGTTTAATTAACAGCCCCTGATGGAGCTGTCCTCCAGAAATGCGTCTATTTTCATGTCAGGTGCAAGGCAAGCACCTGAGAAAGAGCTGGGACTATATGAGCAGGACTAGTCCAGGGCATCTCTATCAGCATGACAGGCCTGGTCCAGATCTAGGCAGTGTCAGCGGAAGGACAAAGCGGAGCCGCACAATTTCCCCTGTTCACCATCTCTATGCCAAGGGCTGAGGAGACCCCCCTCGCTAAGGTGGGCGAAGGCTGGCTCAGCTTGGGCTGTGAATCATTATACTTGATGGGTGAGGAAAGAGGCCGAGTCCCTGTGACTGGGGGAGGTATGAAAGGATCTTTTTCCAGAGCATTTATAAATGCTCCAAAATCTCCCCCCTGCCTAGCCCAGAGGAAAGGCCTCAAAACCCAGAAAAAGAATTCAATTTCCAGGCAACTCTGATCCAAACTGCCTTTGAGGGTTTGGTTTCCGTGCTGTACCTCAGCCCCTGCAGAGACCCCCTGAAGCCCAGCCTTTCAGCCCCAGCTACAAACACGCAATCTCATTCAAGTCTGCGTCATTTTAACTTGACAAGGCTTGGCTTTTGAATACAGAGGGGTGTGCCATACCTGCTAGAGGAAGGAGATTGTTCCTACAGAAGATCACAGCATTTGGGGATGGAAGATTCGCAGATCATCCAGCCCTTTCCCTGCTGCCCATGATTAAAATCAGGCAGCTCAAAGCTCTCCCTAGCTGACCTCTATGGAGGGGGGCACATCACAGCTTCCTTGCCATTATTTCACCTTTCGTACACACACTTTTGTTCTATGCCTAGCTGCAAAAACCCATAGCAACTCAGCAAAAAATGCACAACCCACACACGCAACACACAACACAATTTGCAGCCTTAAGGCATCTGTGCAGCGAAGGGAGCAATAACCTTGGACTGCAAGTCAAAGCAGCTACTTCCAGAGGTGTCAGACATATTTCATCTTGCACCTTGTCCGCCACGTGCAAACCTGAGAGGCTTACACAGGGTCACAGAGGACAATGAACTGACTGGGCAAAGGCAAAGCCCCACACTCAAAACACAGTGGGCTGGAAACTGGCATGGCTAGGTTAGGCAAGCCTGGCAGCTTGTCCAGGAGACACGTGGGGAGTGAAAGGACAGAGGCTTGTGCAGTGGGGACTCAACACCTGGGCCACCTATTACTGATCTGAGCAATATTTGCAGCTTCTAGATGCACTCAGAACATGGACCGAGCTGCAGAGCCAACCGGTGGCTGCTCAAGGATGGTTTAGGACCGGTGATGCCAGGGCTCCCCAACCTCACCACACCATGGCTGTGCCCCTCTCAGGCACAAGAGCCGGATAGTAGCTTTGCCCTTTCCAAGGGGCTCCTGAAGGCCAGAAGTCACTCTAGTTTTACCTTCCAAAGGTCATCTATGCAGCAGCTCTGAGATGATCCTTCAGCCCAGATGGCAGCCAGAAGTCCCTGTCTGTCAGCTGACCTTCGCAGCAGGGTTTTTCAGTGTCCAGCTTCCTCGCACTCACGCTATTTGCTCGCTGCCAACTCTGTGCAGCCACGGCTTCTGCTTCGTAACCCGCGGGCTGCCAATCTCAGCCCTGTTCCTGAACTGTCATGGCTCAGCCGGTCACTGGGACCCAGGGGGTCTCCCTCACCATCACCCCAGCCTCCTGCCACGGGGCTCCAAAAAGACCAATGCAGGTGGGTGGAGGGGAGAG